GATATATAGTGATGATGTGATATTCAGATCACACCCATGACCAGACCTAAATTACGCTTTTACAATTACTGGCCTTCCAAGCATTAAGTGTGGGCAGCTGTTGCTAACATATTGGTTTCAGAAGGCAGAAAATGGAAATGAAACAGATCTTGTTATCTTATCAAGTTCTATTGATGTACAAGCATGCAAGCTTCGGACTTACAAAGAACTACGCTTGGTTCTCCAAACATGAACATGTAACATAAGAGCCTGATTACTTTTCGGCGAACAGAACTCAGCACCACTGAAAGTACTGTCTCTAAGATATCTATTTTGATCTTCAAATTAGGTCAGTACTACACAAACCAAGGAATCCTTTCCTTTCATTCCACTCTGTGAAAGCCTGGAGTGAAAAATCTCTGAAGCCTAAAAGATTAGTTACATTTAGCAGAATTTAACAGCTTGCATTTAACATATGCAGACCCCCCTCCCTGATGCAGAACGAAGGTCTATTCAAAAATCCTCATTTTACATGCCCCTGTCTTTATCAGCACTTAGTAAATTCGTTCAGTCCAATTAAAATTAATGGGATCCAAGCACAAAACATAAACTTTAGGACATACCCCCCTGCAGGGATGGGAAACATTACCTTTTGGACTACGTATCCCAGAATCCCATGGTAGATATGGGATTCTGGGACTTCTCATAGTAATTATTTGAAGGAAAATATGGCACAGGAATGGGCAGAAGGCAGCCCTGCAGATGTTCTTGCGTTTCCCAGCATCTCTTGTCATTGGCTTCGTTGACTAGGATGATGAGATCTGTAGCCTAACAATAATGGGGGAGCAGCACTGCTCTCCACCCTGATATACTCATTTAGGCTTCAACTTGCATATTCTGAAGACCAAGAATTCTAAGTTTCTCAAATCCTTCTAAAACTGGGGCAATGTTTTACAATCGGTACAAGGATTCTATTTTATAACTGCCATGGAGAATCATTTCTGATTCCCAAAGAGCAGTGCGAAGCTCTTCTATTATTCAGTTTTCCATAGACATTTTTATTTTACTGATGGAAATAAATATATATTCATATACAAAGAGGGCAACTCTGTGGTCTCTGAGGTGATATTCTGGGGCCATGGAATATCCTGGATTTCCCTGTCTATCATAGGAAAAGTCTATGTTGCTGCTCCACCATGTTACTATTTTGAACTTTGGCTAGAGTGGTCTGAGATTGCGTGAGAAAGGGAGATTGCGTGAGAAACAGAGGGATATGAAATCACCTTAAACATCAGTAGCAGCAGCTCAAGATATCCTTTTTCTAGCACAAGAAAGAAAACCTTTACTGTATTGCCAAATCAACAGACCATAGTTTATTCTTCACTAGGAACAACATTTGCTTGTTAAGTTGATTTGGTAACCCAGTGGAACTAAGCATCCATGAAACAACAAAGCACCTCAACATTCTTGGTATTATATAGGAAAACCTGACAACATTATATTTTTGCTGGGGGAAATGCCTTTTACAGTAATAATTGCAGTCACAGATGGCTCGTGATCAGACTCCATCTCTGAGATTTGTGGATGAAGTCCTCTTTCTCTACTCAAATCACAACTGCAGAAGGAATGAGAAAATCTGCAAGGAGTGGCAGATGACATGATCATTGCTACCAATCCAAAAAACTAAAATAATAAAAATTAAAGAACTGAGTGGGCTCCTAGCCTGCAAGTGTGACTCCACTACATCAGTGTCTTTATATCTTCTGGCCTGAAGAAAGTGAACCAGCAGGGCATGCCACATATTCTCTCCTCAGCCTAACATAGGATTGATCTGTATATTATAGGGCACAATCATTCTCCATAGGCAGTGTATAAAAAAAATGCCTTTTACAGTTATAATTGCAGTCACAGATGGCTCATGATCAGACTCCATCTCTGAGATTTGTGGGTGAAGTCCTCTTTCTCCGCTCAAATCACAACTGCAGAAGGAATGAGAAAATCTGCATTGGTGTACACTTTGTGTGTTCCATTAGATAGCTGAGGAAGTATATGAAAGAAAAATCGCTGCTTTTATTCAGAGATTGGCTTAGGCCAGTGGTTCTTAACCTTTTTGAAAGAAACGCCCCCTTGAGCCATTGAGGAAGTTATCATCGCCCCCCTCCCCGCGGTGATGATATATTTATTTATTATTGATCTGTATATTATATACGTGGAGTGCCACACAGGGTACAATCATTCTCCATAGGCAGTGTATAAAAATAGATAAAACATAATGGTTTACAAAATCGTTCATGCCAATCACTGTTTTCCCTTAAAACTTAGCAGAAGCGGGTAAGTTACCACAAATGTTAATTCAAAAAAAAGCATGCAATTTGAATAAAAAGATTTGTTTTCTTTTAAAAATTACAAAGAGAAGGCCACAATTATTCCCTGGTCTATATCCTAGAAGAATGGAGCTGCCACCATCAAGTCCCTGTTTCTGATATCCATTTACCTACCACCTGTTGTTAACCTTGGAATCAGCATTTCCTCAACTATGTCTGCCAACTGTTTCACAGAGACCAGACCTATCCAGGCATTCTCCTCTACTGAAGTGCTACTTATAATAAAAGGGGCAAGCAGAGTTACATTCCCTTTTCTCTTGTTATTATTGTCACCCTCTGTGTGAGGAGAATCCTCTGCAAAGGATCTCAGCATCACCTGTGGAGGTTCTTCTAAGACCCTAGAAGTACTACTCTGCACACATTTGCCTTCCTTATGCACAGAAAATGACAAGAGTATCAAGGCAGAAATGTGGTGCTCTTGACTTCCTCTTTAGAGGTGCAGCTTACAGGACAGGAGGGATTTGGCCAGCACTAGTGTTGACCAACAAGATGGTTACACACAAGTAGCAGATGAACGGCTTATGCCCAAATTGTGTAATTTTCGCTTTACTACCTGAACAGATGCCTGAAAATGATGGACAGGGAGTGACCAGAAGACAAAGGAAACGTAAACCACTGAACACCACAGATAGTATTCAGGTAGACTTAGGGAGCAAACTTGAGAAGTAAAACAGTATACTTCATAGCCACTTTTCATATGAAATAACAGGGGTGTAAAATAACACTCCAAAGACGAAACCCTTTGGTTTTTCCCTGCCCTAAAAATCTCATGTGTTCAGTTCTCCATTACATAACAAATAGTGAAATAGATTAATATTCAGCACATCATGCTTAGCATGGCCAAGCATAGCGAAGATCTTATTTGGGACAGGACAAGAAAAAACTCCAAGTACCTGCATGGGAGACTCTGCATCCTCCATCCTTTCATAGATATATCATAGGCAGGGATTTACTGCTCAGTAAATCTGTACATCTCATTACCAGATCTTTTACTCAGGAGTGGACTAATTAAAACCCAGCAGATATCCACTGGCATATCTAATGTAAGCAATTAAAATGTACTAACTTTTAGCTGGATTCCAAGAACCAATATATCCACTTGTTTCATTTGGATCTACTCCTATTTAGAAATGATTGGCTAATGATCTATAGTAATAGGCAAACACCACTTCAATTCACAAAAACGTCCTTTAGCACAGAGCTTGGGAACATGAATTTTTTGGGGGGGGACTGTGTCTGGAGTTCTAGTCCACACAAGTAACCTTTTTCAAGCTGTGCTTTAGCACACAATATTATTGATCCATCTCAACATTTTTGAGTCATCCTTACCAGTACCAAGGTAGGCTAAAACTACAACTACAACTACAACTACAACTACAACTACA